TAATGTGAAAACTTATACTTGGACCAGGAGGCAGTCGTCAGAACAGAGCAAGGGAACACTGCATGGTTCAAAATTGGGAAGGGTGTACGCCAGGGATGCATCCTATCTCCTATCGCCATACCTCTCAATGCAGGGATGAATTATTTTTGGGTACACTGAAAACCTGTCAATACTCTAGATGTCCAACAACTGGGACCTGGATGAATCAACTCAGACACACAACCTGCTATTGCTACAAAGAACAAGGATATTTGTCTGTGTTGATGTGAAAAGACATCCATAATAGGTAGGTAAAAAACTCATGCTGCAGAATCAGTTGTAGGAGGAATCTCAATTGGGTATTAAAAAAAAATCCAAACAACTATGAGATATCATCTCATCCCAGGAACAATAGCAAAGTTCAACAGAGCAGCAAACAACAAATGCTTGAGAGGTTGTGGAGAGACTGAAACCCTTATCCACTGCTGGTGGGAGTGTAAAATGGTTCAACCATTATGGAAGGTGGTTTGGCACTTTGTCAAAAAGTTGAAAATAGAAATACCATTTGATCCAGCATTTGCACTGCTGGGAATATACCCTAAAGAAACCAGAACTGCCTTCCAAACAGAGGTATCAACATCCATGTTTATTGTTATGTTATTCACAATAGCAATGAGATGGAAACAACTCATGTGCCCACTAACAAATGCATGGACAGAAAAACTATGGTATATATTCAGACAATGGAATTCTCTGCAGCACTAAAAAATAATGAATGTGTAAAACATTACTTACACAACATGGGTGACTCTGGAGGACATTTTGCTGAGTGAAATGTTTCAGGATCAAAAGGACAAATTCTGCCTAACACCACTGTTATGAAGCAGAACTAACATGAGGGGCTGGGAGGAGAACAGGATATATTTCATAACTTTTTCCCCTACAAAGATCTTGAAAGGCCCTAACTAAGCCCAGTCCTGAGGTCTAGGAGAAGGCCTGGAGTGGAGTGATGTGAGAGGTAGAAACAATCCCTTTTCACTATCTGAACTTTTACATTCTTTGTACTGTGGAAAACCCATGTTCACTTAATATTAAGCTCAAAATTACTCCTAAAAACATTTCTAAAAATAATAATCCATCTCATGGAGAGCAGAGAAGGAGCTGGGCGTTTTTTTCATGAGCTTCTCTCATATTTGTCGCCCCATCCCATAGCAATCCATCATTTCACCCCTCACACAGCTCCCCTTACCTTGGAATAAGCCTTCCCGCCTTTCAGCTCCTGCACAGGGGGGAAGATACAACAGGGGGGTGATTAGAGAATCCAAAGGACAATGTGGGACCATCCCAATTTCCCTCAGGAGTGACAAGCTGAGGAATAGTCCTGGAGCTCCTTCCCTGGCCCCACGGGCCCCAACTTTACCTTGCGCACAGACACACGGAAGATGCAGGGGTCCAGCAGGCCAGTGGCCGGGTTGGCACTCATCTTACACACAAAGGTGAACCTCTTCCGCCATCGTACACAGTTCTCCTGCACCTCTTCCCTGTGGATCAGAAGCACACCATAGACACACAGATTAGCCCTGTCAAAGGGACCCCAGGTCAGCAAATTTACCTCTAGGGAGGTACAGGTGGGGGTGCATGTGTGAGGGACCTACTGCAGAGGGAGTGAAAGGACTGAGTACTCTCACATCTTGCTTCATATCAGAGAGAGACTTAGTTTTCACAATGAAAATGTGCTTTTGGGGTTAATAAAGTGTAAAAACACAAGGCGAGGTAAAGTAAGGTGGGGACAGCTGACCATTCCTTCGGTCCAGGCACTGTCCTCTCATCCCACAACCCTGCTCTGTGGCTCTGGGTAGCTCCTTCCACTGGTGCTATTCCCTCACATTAGCTAAGCTTCTCCAAGTCATTTCATGGAACCCTCACAACTCTCTTCTCAGGAGAGAGTCCAATACGACTCACAGTGACTATCAACCACAGATCTGAACCCCGTCCTATCCTGTGTCATACTCATCATCTCTGACATACTTGAGCCCACTGCTGCCATCACTGTGTCAATTCACCTTGTTGAGGATCTTCCTTTCTGTCTTTTGCTAACTCTCCACTTTTCCAAGCATGAAGCCCTTTCCAAGGAATACTATCAACCTATTTTACAGATTAGGAAACTGAGGCGAAGAAAATAGTCAACTCGACCTGACTCCAGACTTACCTTCCTCACTAGTAAGAACAATAATGGCAACAGTAATATAGCAGCTAACACTCATAGGGGGCTCTGGTGGCTTAGTGGTAAGGAAATGTGCTGCCAATGAGCAGGTATTCTGTTTGAATCCACCAGCCGCTTTGTGGGAGATAAATGGGCCAACTCCTCCCATGTGATTTACTGCCTGTAAAAAACCTGCTGGAGGGTCAGTGATGAGTTGGCTGGGATTGTAGTTGCAGCTCTTTGCCACTAGGCCACCAGAGCTCCCCTATGATGAGTTGACTGGGACTTGATGGCACACAACAACAATAATCACCTTTATATGGCCGTTACTATGTCCTGGGCATTCTTTAAAGCCCTTAACAAAAGCCAGCAGTTCCTGAAGACTGCTCTGTGTACTGGGGACACCAAAACCTGCCAACAATTCCCGGTGCAACTGCTGACATAAGGGATTCTTCAGTCAAGGAAAACAGAAGCCTTGAGGGCTAAGATCCTTGCCAGGGATTTGAACCCAAGCAGTCTGGCTCTAGGTGCTACATCAGAATCAAGTCATCAATTCGAGGATCTCAGCTTTCCTGACACAACTGAAGGTTTGATCTCCCAAGCCTCCATATTCCTGCTGGAGAGCATGACAAAGCTGGATAAATATGCAACCTTTGAAAAGGGAAGAACTAGGGAGGTCTGGTAGTCTAGTGGCAAGAAGCGGCACTGTAATCCCAGAGACTTGCAGTTTGAATCCACCAGATGCTCTGCTGGTGAAGGAGGGACAATCTCCTGTACCAGTCAGATCCAATTTGACGATACACACAAACACACACACAAATAAAATTTTAAAAAAAAAGAAAGAAAAGTGAGGAACTCTATACTCTCCAAGTGGGTGGGAACTGGTAGGTGCAGCTCATCCAGGTCTCTTGGGGTGCTGTGGGGGCCCTGGCAGAATCCGGGGGCAGCAGCATGCAGAAGAGATGAGCTCTACATCCTGCACGACGCTCAGCCTCCTACAGTCCACCAAGCAGGGCCTGTGCCAAGGCAGGCAGCCAGGGAAGAGAGAGGGTAGTGTGGAGACCTAACCACCAGCCACATCCCACTGACCCAGGACATCCAAGGGGACAGCTGAGAAAATGACCTCTCTAAACGCTAAGTGACCTGAGTGGCACAGGTTAACTGTGAGCCTGGGGCCTGAGACTGAGAGAGAGCATCTCCTGAGCATCATCTTGTTTGCTTCTCATGCAACTTTTTAGGGCATCTTTGTTTACCTCCTTCTACAGCTGAGGGTACCAACATGCAAACAGAAAGCTATCTGCCAAAGATTACATTCTCAATAAATGAAAATACAGGATCTAAACCCAGACCTATTTGCCTTTAGGGCCAGAGCACTCAGCCACGGCCTTGGCTCCTGGGCCCCAGAACCTAGGAAAGTCTGACATGGAAGCCTTAGGTGTTAGGAGCTGGCAGTGTGCCCTGCCATGCACATCCCTGTGTATCTACACATCTGCGTGCCAAGTATGTGTCTAATAATGGGCTACTGCACTGGGCTTTATTCAGACTGAATTCTGACAGCCAACCCAGTGAAAAATTCATGTTACCAGGCGCAGCTGGGGACAGTGGGGGCCATTCAAGCTCAGATCCAAATGAAGCATGGAGTAGCCAAGTCAGAGACAGTTCAAGGCAAAGAAAACAGCCTGAGTCAAGGGCAAATGTCCTCCACATTCCATGGAGGAGTCTGTTTCCTTGGCTGGTAAAATCCCTGGGGCTGAGCTTTCTACAAGAAGCTTCCTCCAGTCAACCTTCTGATTCTACAAGGCCTTGATGAAAGGCACTGGGACTCAGGCCAGAAGATCTTAGCTTATAGCCTTTATGTTCACTGGTTGGCTCAGACTGGGGCTGGACCTCTCTGTTCTCCTCTGTAAAATGGGAACACCAACCACTCCCTCACAGCCAACCAACCACTTTCTCACAGCCATATCTGGAGTACTCAGGGAAGCTGAACCTCACAAAGTGCTTGGACTTGTGAGGAGAGTACCTGAGAGCATGTTTCATCTAATGAAGATGCTGGGATATAGGAAGACTCAATCAGCAGCATGCTCTAACTTCTTTAGAAGGGTGAGTTCCACTAAGTTCTTATAACCTCCAGAATGGGAAGAAGCAACAAAGGTCAGTGCCCGAAATGAGGGGGAGGAAGAGAGAGTACTTGATCAGCCCAGCAGACATGGGTGGGAATTCTCATGAAGCAGTTAAAGAGGAGTGGGGGCCCAAGGCGGGGGCATCAGCTGACTCAAGTCATGCTGCATTCATTCATTAAAAAGCAAAACCGAAGCTGACATCCAAGCAGATATATGCACACCCATGTTTATTGCAGCTTTGTTCACAATAGCAAGGAGTTGGAAACAACCTAAGTGCTCATCAACAAACGAATGGCTAGAGAAGCTGTGGTATATTCGCACAATGGAATACTATGCTGCATTGAAAAATAAGGAACTCATGCAATATTATTCAAACTGGTTGACTCTGGAGAACATTATGCTGAGTGAAATATCCCAGTCACAAAAGGACAAATATTGCATGATGCCACTGTTGTAGAATGGGACTGTCCTTGGGGTTGGGGAGAGACTGAGTAAGATGGGTTCAATAATGTATACTGCACTGAAACTGAGGAGGGAGAAAACTGTTTAAAAGAGATATGTGACTAGGTATTTCTGTCATCACAGGAGTCTAGAGTGATGGCTACATGGTGGAGGGGACCTGGGGGAGGGTTTGTAAAACAATGAAAGAATCTTTTCTTTTACTTTTCCATAATTTTTGACTCTTGTACTTATAATTTGTTAGTTAAATTTGTGTCTTCTAGGTTGCAACACCCCCATGATACATCTTCAAGGATATGAACATGTATGGCTAAGCACAATTAATAACAGTGCATCTAAATTCCAAAATAAATCTCCATAATAGTCTATGTGTTTCCTACTGCCAAAGGGGCCCTTTAGAGTAGTGAGAGAAGATCTTTACCCTGAAACCCACAGCGTCCCTTTTCAGCAGGAAGTAGCTAAGAGAATACGCCATCCCCTTTCCCTTATGAATCAAGGTGAAGTCTCTCTCAGGGAGGAGTGATAGGGAATGGCAAAGGACACACTGACAAAGGAGATTAATCAGAACTGGCTTTGACAAGCACTGTGGCAATTGGACAATTAAAACAGACATTCGGTGGGCGGGGGAAGAAGAACAAACTGGGGAAGAGGTTAGAGAGAATGGTACAGCAATGAAGGAATGAAAACCCCAAATCCCTGTAAATGTTCATTAATACTAATAAAATTTAATAATAAAAAAAGAAAAAAAAAGCAAAACCGAACATCAACTGTGTGCCTGGACATGAGCTATGTACTAGAAAAACAGTGGTGAGCAGTTTGCATTCTAGTGGGGTGAAAAGACAAGGATCAGCCTAAGCAGAAAAATACATGGTAGGTAGTGGAAAGGAAGATGAAAACTATATTGGCAGATTAGAGATAATATGAAAGAATTTGCTGAAAATGACCTGAACAGTGTTTGGTGGAGCTCCCAGTTTAAGACAACTTTGGAAGCAGAAGTGGCATCCATTTCCTAAACAACATGCCTCTGGAAACTCTATGAACTTTGATAAACGATGACAGTTATAGAAAGGCTTCAGGCCTATTGTTAATAGGGTCACTATGAGTTGTGCTTGACTCAATGGCAATCAACAACAACCACCAGAACAAATAAATTCAGTATGCTTGTAGAATATATGGTTAATATATAAATAACAATTGTATTTCTAATTAACAATCCAAAATGAAAATATAAAACAATTGCATTTGTAATAACATTAGAAAGGATAAAATAATGATAAATGGAAAGATGTCCCATGTTCATGGACAGAAGGCAATAATACTGTTAAGACAACAATACTCCCAAACTGATCTGGAGTGCCAGTGTAATCCCTATCCAAATTCCAAAGGTGCCTTTGCAGAAATTGACAAATTGATCCTAAAATCTGGAAATCCAAGGCACTATGTAATAGGAGTAACAATCTTGTGGGGAAAAGAAGCTTAAAACCCAAAACAACAAAAACAAAAACAACCACATTTCTTTATTAAAATGTCTTAATAAAGCTACAATAATCAAAACAATATGGTTCTGCATAAAGACAGTTATATAAATTAACAGAACAGAACTGAAAGTCCAGAAATAAATGCTTACATTTATAATCAATTGATTTTCAACAAGAATGTTAAAACAATTGCATGGAGGAAATATGCTTTTAAACAAAAAGTGCTAGGTCAACTGAAGAGCCACACAAAAGAATGAATGAACTAGGACTCAAATCTCCAA